GACTTTCGAATATGTCAGGAAAAAATAATGATTTCATATAAGGTACTATATATATAACTATGACCATTCTTGAGTTATTGATTTTTCGAAATATTACACAGAATATTCAAATAGAAAATTATGTATTTTTTTGGTCCAAACAAAAAAAAATTCAATTACTTCCATTGTATTCAAGGGTTCTCTATACCTAACCTAAATAGTCTTTTAGATATCGGCGTTTTCAAGTATTAGTTCGTATTTCAGTGCGTTATTTGAATCATAATAGCTTTGAAATTACATTCATTTGATTTGCTCACAATTGACAGTTGTTATACTTCACTTCATCGAAAATATTTAGTGTTCACTACAATAAAGTTATCATTCACATTCATATTCTGACAGTTTCTCATTAAACAGACTATCCTTTTTTTTATTATTCGACTGAAACAATAACAAAATATGAGACACGAATGTATTTAAATCAAAGTAGGTGTTTCATGATCCTGTCGAATACAAAGATCTACTCTCTCTATGAAAGACTATCTAACATTAAATAATATTTGGAGCATCACTCTTCGAAAAGGAGCCCTTTTTCTCTCCTTTATATTTTCCAGTATGGTTGAAGGAGTGTCGTAAGCCTCATTCTCAAAGTATCCCCATAAGAAAAAATATAGGCAAGTCAAATCTGCAGAACTCGCTGGCCAATTTTGTGGTCCTCCCCTACCAATCCATTCATTCGGAAAGCACATATTCAAAAACTGTCTGACACTGAATTTGAAATGTGCAAGTGCTCCATCCCATTGTAACCACATCGTCTGATATTCACCGACAAATTCTCTAGAAGCTCAGGCAGATCATGTCGCGAAAATTGTTAAAAGTTTTGACCATACAAGTTTTCATTATAAGAGTCATATAATTTGTGTACCTACCTATGATTCTGTTCCTCTTATTCCGTCCATGAGTACTAAAACAGACTAATACGGCTGTATAGCATATCTATATTTTGATTTCGAGATTCCCTGCAAAACATCCTAACGCGTTATATTAGGTGATCTAGCGGGCAATTCTAACGACTTCGGTTTGAATAATTATCATCTAACCACTTTTTATTTACTTTGTCGTGATGAGGGGGTATCTCATCTTTCTGAAACGTAACATTAGTTGAAAATCCATTTTGAATTGTCAATTATCCAAACCAGCACACAGGCAAAAACCTGATATAACACCTCTAGATGTTTTTGGGGTGATACGTGGTGGTAAGTATGAAATACACAACCGCAGTTTTCATTTCACGGTTAGAAAAATAGGCCCTTGCAACGGAATAACCCAAGAATTATTTTATAATGTGGAAAATTGATTCGAAGTCAAATTTTATTGTCATCAAGAATTGAGTAGTGAACACTTTTGAACATTTATTGACGTAAACTAGAGCATACTATTGTTTATAATATGTAGATTTTCAAGAAACACAGATTGAACTGCTTATTTACTTATTCCCCATTGATCTGGGGAATTTCCGCCCACAAACATATTCATAATTTGAACCCGAATCATATCATTTGAGAAAAACGAAAAACAGGCTCTTTGTTTTCGATTGTTTGGAAGCTGTACATCAAATGGGGAGAATTGTCCTTTATTCTACTCAGTGAGCATATTCTCATAGAGGCTACATCTGGTATAGTTAAATAAATAACTTCTCCCAGGAAGAAAATAGAAAATTCATTAGAGTAAAGTGCACAGACCTCCAAATGAAAATTTTATGTTTTCACCAAGCGAATCCGGTACAGAGTACCTCCACACAAAGTACGAACCCTTTAAATCAGAATAATGTTGTTGAGAAAATGTGAATTTGTTTCAAGGTAGTAAAATTTCCAACAACCTTTCAGGAGGATCTGCTCGTGAAAAATGAAACAATGGACTTTCAATGGAACATTTGATGTTGGAGGTGGATGCTGTTATTCGGGCAGTCCGGGTCGAATTACATTTATTATCCAGGACCGCTTATTGCATTACTTATAATGTGAGCATTAAAAAATCGAAAATTCAAAATGAAGTATGAACACAAGTATGAACACCCAAACTGAGTAGAGCCATGAAGATGATAGCTATATACAGGGTGTAACTAAATAAGTGTAAAACATTCAACGAGTGATTTCTCATCGAGAAGAAGATAGGATCTTTCATATAAAGACATTTCATTGGATCATCCCTTGTTAAGATACAGCCCCTTGAAGGGGGTACATAAAATTTGTATAACAATTTTTTTCACAAGCACTAAAAAAGTTACAATATTGAAATTAACCTGACGTTTT